TCCCTGCTCAGTGGGAAGCCTGCTTCTCCCTCTCCCACTCCCCCTGCTTGTGTTCCCTCTCTCACTGTGTCTCTCTCTGTCAAATAAATAAAACTAAATAAATAAAGACTTAGTTTTTGAATTCCAATATAATTAACGTACAGTGTTATGGTAGTTTTAGGTGTACAATATAGTGATTTAGCAGTTCTATACATTACTCAGTGCTCATCATGATAAGTGTCTCTTAATCCCCTTTACCTGTTTCACCCATTTCCCCACCCATCTCCCCTCTGGTAACCACCAGCTTGTTCTGTATAGTTAAGAGTTTATTTTTTGTTTGTCTCTTTTTTCCTTTGTTCATTTGTTTTGTTTCTTCTACATAAGAGTCAACTCATATGGCATTTGTCTTTCTTTGACTTACTTCACTTAGATTAAACCCTTTAGATCCATCCATGTTGTTGCAAATGGCAAGATTTCATTCTTTTTTATGGCTGAATAATACTTCATTGTATTTATACATAGCACATTGTCTTTATCCATTCATCTATCAGTGGACACTTGGATTGCTTCCATAATTTCGCTATTGTAAATAATGCTGCAAAAAACATAGGGTTGCATATCTTTTCAAATTAGCGTTTTCATTTTCTTTGGGTAAATACCCAGTAGTGCAATTACTGGATTGTAGGGTAATTCTATTTTTAGCTTTTTGAGGCACCTCCATACTGTTCTCCACAGTGGCTGTACCAGTTTGCATTCCCACTGACAGTGCAAGAGAGGTCCTTTTTTCTACAACCTCGTCAACACTTGGTTCTTGTGTTTGTTATTTTAGCCATTCTGACAGGTGTGAGGTGATATCTCATTGTAGTTTTGATTTTCATTTCCCTGATGATGAGTGATGTTGAGCATCTTTTCATGTGTCTGTTGGCTAGCTGTATGTCTTCTTTGGAGAAATATCTGTTCATGCCTTCTGCCCATTTTTAATTGAATTACTTGTGTTTTTTTTAGTGCTGCGCTGTAGAAGTTCTTTCTATATTTTGGATACTAACCCTTTATCAGATACGTCATTTGCAAATATTTTCTCCCATTCTGTAGGTCGCCTTTTAAGTTTTGTTGTTTCCTTAGCTGTGCAGAAGCTTTTATTTTGATGTAGTTCCAATAGTTTATTTTTGCTTTTGTTTCTCTGGCCTCAGGAGACATATCTAGAAAAATGTTGCTACAGCTGATGTCAAAGAAATTACTGCTTGTGCTCTCTTACAGGATTTTTATGGTTTTAGGTCTCACATTTAGGTCTTTAATCCAGTTTGAGTTTATTTTTGTGTATGGTATAAGAAAGTGGTCCAGTTTCATTCTTTTGCATATAGCTTTCCAGTTTTCCCAGCACCATTCATTGAAGAGACTGTCTTTTTCTTATTGGATATTCTTTCCTCCTTCATTGAAGATTAATTGACCATATAATCATGGGTTTATTTCTGGCCTATTTCTGTTCTCTTGATCTGTGTGTCTGTTTTTATGCCAGTACTGTACTATTTTGATTACTACAGCTTTGTAGTATATCTTGAAATCTGGGATTGGGATCTCTTCTGTTTTGTTCTTTTCTTCAGGATTGCTTTGGCTATTCAGGGTCTTTTGTGGTTCCATAAAATTTTTAGGATTATTTGTTCTAGTTTGGTGAAAAATGCTGTTGGTATTTTGATAGGGATTGCATGAAATCTGTAGATGGCTATGGGTAGTATCAACATTTCAGCAACATTTGTTCTCCCAATCCATGAGCATGGAATAAAGGCTATTTTTTTTTTAAATTGACTGGGCATGCAGAGAAACAGGAGAATTTATTTCATAATGGAGAAAAAGTCGACAGAAACAGACCTGTAAATTACAGAATTAGTAGACAGGGTCATTAAACCATATAGATATACTCCGTAAGTTCAGAAAGTTAAAGGAAACCTTGAACATAATGAGACACATGGAACACATTTTTAAGAAAAGATTCTTGTGATAAAAAATACAGCTAACCCTTGAACAGCGTGGGTTAGTACTGCGCAGATCCACTTATAAGCAGATTTTCTTTTTGATAAATAGAGTACAATACTGTAAATATATTCTCATAATGTTCTTAACATTTTTTTCTCTAGGTTGCTTTATTGTAAGAATACAGTATTATATATACGTATAACATACAAAATATGTCAGTTGACTGTATTATTGGTAAGGTTTCTGGTCAACAGTAGGCTATTATTAGTAGTTAAGTTTCTGGTGGGGGGGCAAAAGTTATATATGGATTTTTGACTGCACAGGGCGTTGGTGCCCCTACCCCCTGCTTTGTTCAAGGGTCAACAATCTAAGTGGAAAATACACTATAAATGGATTAGACACTGCAGAAGAAAAAATAATGGCTAAATTGAAGATTTTGCAATAGAAACTATCCAAGATGGAATGTAGAGAGAAAAAGGATAGGAAAAAAATGGTTATAATACATAGTGGGATAATGTCAGATAAGTCAAATTCTAAAATGAGAAGGGAAGAACAGAAAAAATATTTGAAGAAATAATGGCTAAATTTTTCAGATTTCATGAAAAATATAAATCCACAGATCTGAAACTCTCAAAGAAACACATGGACAGAAAACACAAAACTATACCAAGGGCACATAGATTCATATTAGTTAAAACTAGTGATAAAGAGTAAATCTTAAAAAGCACCCAGAAGACTTCTCCCAGGAACATGGAGTAGATGTACTTTCCCCTCTTCATCTTACTAAGGAAAACAAAAAACTCTGGATATTATAGGACAGGAGAGTCCTGTTCTCTCCAGCCAAAGCACTAGGAAAAGAGCAGCCAAATACTGCAGTAAAAACCAGCCCCATCCCAACTTT